GTGAAACCTGTCCTCCAAGTCTTTAAGAACGGTTGCTGACCTAATGTCATTTAACTGGCAAAAGGAGTCCCGTGTTTCATATACAGGCATGTATATTTTTTAAGTCCAAACTGGCTAAAAGTCCCATTTTACAAAAGTTTATATAAATTCCACTAGGAGGCTTACTAATGTTACTCTTTCTAGTGCTATTGTCTAAATTCAAGCAAGGAATTCCAGTATATTTAGGAATACCAGTTCAAATGCAACATATGCAAGTGCAAAATAATCATAAGATGTCCCATTAAAGAAATATAAACTTGTAATATTTTCATATTTTAACTTAGATTTACGAGCAACATTTTGACCAACATTTTACCAACAATATAAGAGACAAAACAGAAGCATTTGTAAGCAATTTTAACAGTACTGTGTGAAACAAAACTGTATGAGGCAAAGCATGAACAATTATGAGCAATGGACAAAGATATATTAACATATGAAACATAAAATTTGTTACCTAAGCAAGTCCCAATCCAGACTTTATGAAAGAAAAGCAAACTCATACCTCCGTCCAATGATCTCGGTGGGAAACTCCAAAATGATACAGGGAAGAAAAACTGGTCTCGGGTGGGTGACCTCCAAACCATACAGGGAACCTCCAAATGACATAGAGAAAAACAATCTCCCGACCTGACCTGCACGAATTCGTGTTCTCTAAAACCGAAGAATGAATTTTAGGAACAAACGGAGGTTATGAGCAGAATATATTTACTGAGAGAAAGAAAGCTCCTGTCCAAGAGAGGGACAGGAGGGGGGCCCGAGCGGGTAGTTCCCCCGCAAAAATGTTTTATGTATAAGAATATTTCTTTTGAGGGCTGGGGAGATGGCACAGTAGAATAAGTGCTTGCCTGGCAAGCGCAAGGGCCTGAGTTCAATCCCCGGGTTCTGCCAAAAAAAGAAAAAAAAAATTTTTTTTTTCTTTTGAAAATGACCAAAGTCCTGACCTACAACTTAATTATCTTGCTTCTTCTTGACTAGGCATGTATTTGTCTTGCTTTTCTTAGTGACATTTAACATTCTTATCAAATGCTTTTTTTTTTTTTTTTTTTTTTTTGTGGAACCAGGGATTGAACTCAGGCCTTTGTGCATACAAGGCAAGTGCTTATTCTACTGAGCTATCTCCCTGGCCCAAATGTTACTATTTTATCTTGATTAATTTGATTCATTTTCTCTGAAATCAGTATTTTGGAGATTTTGTCAAATGACTACTTATATCTGAAATTTTTTTCTTCCTGCATTTACTTTATTTTTTAAAAAAAAAATTTTTTTTTGGTGGAACCGGGGATTGAACTCAGGCCCTTGTGCTTGCCAGGGAAGCACTTATTCCACTGGGCCATCTCCCCGGCCCCATGGCTTTATTATTTTAGGATACTTTTTTTTCTTGTGTTTTTTTTGCCTCTGATAATCTTAATGGCTTATTTTCCTTTTTTGTGTCTTATTTAATGTCTTATTAATTGAAAGGAGGTGATGTAGTCCACAAGTATACTTTATATTTTACATTAGGAAAGGGAAAAAGTATTGAATTTCATGTTAGAAGCTTGGTTATAGTTAAACTTTAGCCACTTAGTGCCTCAGTGGTACCAATTTGGGCAAGTCAGTCTCAGATTCTTCAATGTATAAGACAAAACAGAATTTACTTTGAAAAATGTTTTTAAAAATAAAATAAACTAATAAATTGAAAGTACTTTCTAACTTGGAGGTTTGAGGAAAATTCTAATACAGAATTTGGTGTCAACACATTAGCAAACTAATGAAATTAAGTTTGAGAACATCTTAGAACTCACTTAGTCTAACCTGTCATTAACAGAAACAAAAAGTTTCACGGGTTTGTGTATTGGAATCAGTTATATTTTTTCCTAATTCTTAAGCTAAGCAGCTGGGAAGCCAGAGGCAAGAGAATCTTAAGTTTGAGGCCAGCTTGGACAAGTTAGCAAGACCTTGTCCCAGAATAAAATAGTAAAATAAATTTGAAAATACAAAACTGGGCTGCTGATGTGGCTTAGTGAGAGAGTGCCTTGGATTTGAACTGTAGCAGCCCCTTTACCCCTGAAAGTCATTTAAATCATACTCTTGTAGTACAGAATATATAAAAAAACAGCTTTACAAAGTTTCTGCTGTTATGCAGTCCCTGTTTTCTTTGCATTGACAAGAGAACAAAAGGAAACCTAAGGCGTGCTTGATGAGAAGTCAAATAACAGATCTTTTTGAATTAGGCAACTTCCTGTTACTGGTTTTATTCTGCTAGCAAATTAACAAGGAGAAATCCCAATAAGGAAAGATCTATTACAGTTTTATCAGACCCCTTTAATAGTTGAGAATTGATTCAAGAAGTAGTCGAGGAGAACAGCTATCTCTAATAAGTCAACCAGTAACAAATGCTAGAGGGGCTGTGGGGAAAAAGAATGCTTCTCCACTGTTGGTGAGAGCGTAAGACTGTTGGAACCACTATGGAAATCAGTGTAGAGATTCCTCCAAAAACAAGAATTAGAAGTCCCATTTGGCCCAGATATTCCTCTTCTGGGTATTTTTCCAGAAGAACTGAATACTGCAAAATATGTGCACCCATTGTATACCAGTGCAATTTGTTATAGCTAAATCTTGGAAACAAAACCCAAATGTCCATCAATTGAGGTATGAATAAAAAAGATGTGGTATTTTTATA